TCTCATTGGAAAACAATGACTGTGTTAAAATAGAGAAAGTGCTAATAACAAATAGCCTAGTTTATTTTCTCTGGGTGAAGTATATGCTTCACAATTACAAACATGAATTAAGCTTTGTCGTTGTAGTTATTTGGTTTTAGCCTATGGTATTTATATGTTTTTGATGAGAGACATGTGTTTCCAAATTTTCTTTTATGGAAGAAACAGACATTTGAAAATATGTAAAAGGCACAGTGTGTTCTCACATATGATGTTGCCCATTTACGATTGTAAGTGACTTGCTACTGGTAGCTTCATTTCATTTTGTCTAACTTCAGAGGGAAATGGGCTCTTTTAGGTATATAGAGAAAAATATCCAAATTTTTTGTTTCTTTATTTTCTGTGGAAAAAATACAGTTTGAAATAGGTTAAAATGTGACCAAACCCCATATGTGTGGTTGCAAGACTCATGAAGCTATTTCCATGTGAGGTTTGGCTCATTGTGAGGGATTGTGAAGGGGATGTCATAGATATTTTTTCCAAACTAGTAAAAATTCACTTCAGCCTGAGGGCTAAAAGTTACATTTTTGGTGGTCAATAAACAGTTGATTGATTAGATGAAATTCTATCTTTAAAATGTTTTACCATTTGTTCTTAGAAAGTTTGCCCTTGCATAGCTAAAAACAGCAAGTCTGTTAGGGTGAAAATATATTGATTGGAAGAACCAGGTGCTAGTCATGCCATAAAGATAAGCTTCTTTTCTTTCTTTCAAACTTACTTTAAGATTGCCTAATGTATGTGGGTGAATCAATCTCACTCTTCCATACCCAGAAGAAAGTTTCCTGTTAATTTCTCTGGCTCCCTGAATGTCACACTCATATTCTCCTAGGAAATCAGGTGCATAGCGGCAGATCCAGGTCCCTAGACACCTGCTTACAGAGTTTATTAAAGGTTATTAGGCAATAGACGAGCTGCAAGGCATATGTGGGTTGACTTAGTGGTAGGTAGGGGACAGCCTTTGTGCTGTGGCTAGCAGAGTCCCTGGCATGTCTGCCCCTAAAAAGCCTATGAAAATGGCAACATCTAGCAATGACAATGAATGGGACTGCCAAGAGCAATTAATAGAATAACAGATTTGTTGGAAAAGTCAAGTGCAACAATCTAGGGAGTTAGTCATAAGGCGAGGGTTGACAGCAACCTTGTGAGCAATCACTTGCAGTATTAGGTCCTTGAGAGTTTTAAAGAAGTTTATGCTTCTTTGGGCTCCAGGACAACTGCTGAAAAGTAAGTAGAACAGTTTTTGTTATTTCCATTTGATGCAAAAAGCTACATGATTTCTGTAATTTAGTAGCAAACTCAAAAAAACCTGAATTTTGACTGTTTCAGGAAGATAGGTTGAAGAAGATCTCATAGTGGATAAGAAGTCCCTTTTACATTTATAGGTGGGAGGCATGGAGATATGGGCATGAGACTCCCACGAAAAGAGGGGAAAGAGCCTATTCAAGAATTTATAATACTTCATCATGTGACTGAGCATGCGCCAAGATCAATGTGGTTGGTTATTCAAAAACTGAAGCTTCATTTCTTGGCCTACTCCCTATAGAGAGTAACTTTCCTAGGGTTTCTACTATTCATGGAAAATAGAGAGCCAAAATGTGATTGTTCTCTGCAGAGAGATTCTTAGTTAATTGCTTCTACCTCTGTTTTCATCTCAGTGGGGGTCAGCTTCCCTCATTAACTGTAGTGGGCATGTCCAGTTATGGGCAGTCATCACTTTGGAATGGCTGAGCCCATTTCTTTAAGAAGATATCTTTCTTAGGCAATAAAGAAAGACAATCAAGAGTACCAAGTGGTAAAGAAGAGAGACGTTGGCTCCTGTGTGAGATATGTCTCAGTTTGAATCCCATCTCTAAGTATTCATGGTACAGAGAACACTTGTTCTCATCAAGCCTCAGTTTCCCCAGCTTTAAAAATAGGGATAATTACACCCATTGCTAGGATATTGCAAAAATTAAATTAAATGAGATAAATTTTCTTTAGATCAATTGACATTAAAAAGAAACATTCATCAGGGTAAACCCGTTTAGTCACATTATTCTGCAGGTAAGACAGGACTTTTAAAAGATCTGATAACAGATGCCATGGTTTTAAAAGATTGATTATAATGTCTCTCTGCATATATTCATACTACAAAAATTATTAATACTGTGGAGCCATTAGAAGCCAAATTAAGCTGCTTTCCCATGCCATGCCACTGTCACACAGGATGCATGCTCTGTGCAGATTTCACGCATTTTAGTTATTGGGTTGGCAGAACTGTCAAATGCCAGTTTTGAAAGATGAGGCTATCTACAGATGTTTGCATAACACAGTTAAACAGAGAAAAAAAAATGAAAATATCCCTTGGCCCTTCACTTTGAGCTAGATAGCTTCTATTCATACTTCTAGATGCGCTTTCCATCCTGTCCTGTCTACCCTGGGCCCACAGAAATAAATCTGTACATCTCCAGCAGGGCTTCTTTACCCTCTGGTTTCTGGTTGAACTCAGCTAATGGGGACCATCAGTAGAGACTGGAAGATGAGAGTGAGTGAACAAGGGATATTTATTTCTCCACTTCCTTTTGTGGGGTTGCCACAGGCTGGCTGTGTCCTAAGATGGAACTCCTGAGTTTCTGTAGGGCCTCCTTTACCACACCAACTCTCTGTCTTTGGGTTCATACACCTTTCCACCCACTTGTCCATTCAGGCCTCGAGTGGAAATAGTCCCCACTTTTACTATATCCTAGTGAATTGTCCACACATTTGCATTAGAATAAAACATATGGATTCATCAATTTTGCAGAGCAAAAATGATCAAATATTGGCAATTTTATATTTAATCGAATAAACAGTTACATCATTAAACTATTTTGAATAATTCAATTAAAGCACAGTCCATTAAAAAGAAAAGATTTGTTAAAATTAAGGAAAGCAGGCTTGCAAAGGAGACAGCAGAGAAGCACTTGTGGAGTTTTTCAGATGAAAATATTTACTGAGGACAAAATAACTACTAAATAATAGAAGCTATAATTATAAATTATTTAAACACTGGATTGATAAATAAAAATTTCTGTAAAGTAAGTGTTTACTTGGTATCACAGTGCCACAGTGATTTGATTTTTTAAAAATTAATCTGGTAGATTTGGAAACCTAATCAACCAGTTTGGTGTTGCTAAACCCTCACTGATTTACAGAGACACATCTGACAATGTAAATGAAGAAACAAAAACTGAGAGTAAGGAAACCTGAATTTCAGTGCTTGATCCCCACTCCAGTCAGTTTTATGATTTGAGGGAAATCACTTTGCCTTTTTATCTTCAAGTTTCTGATCTGTAAAATGAGGAGTCAGGAATAAATAACCTCTAAAATCCCTTTTAGTTCTGGTTTTTGTTAGTTTGTAATACCAGGGACTGATATCAATGAAAAACCAAAGCCTCAAGATGCTCCTCCTCTGTCCTCCCCTGCCAGTTAAATTGCTTCATCCAGTAGTTGGCTGATAATTTCCAAACTTGGCAGCAAAGAAATACCCAGGATATATTCCTCGGCTCCACCTCATATCTACTAACTCTCTAGCATCATGTGGACAGTAGCTATTTCATGTTTATGAAATTTCCCCTGTTGATTCTGAGGTAGAGCCAGGTTTGGAAATCACTGTGAAAAACACTATCTTGGATATAAAGAGAGAAGACTGACAACAAATATGGGTTACTCTGAACAACTCTCAGGACAATTCAGGTAGAAGAAATCCAGAATGGTTCTCAGTAATGGAGCTAAATGATTTAACTCTCTTGTTCTCTGTAGTACTCAAATAGAAGGAGGACACACACCACACTTGCTTGTTGTAATTGTGCATGAAGACATAAGTTTCAGGGTTGTATGTCCTCTCGCCCTAACTTTTGCATTTCCTGTGTCAGTATAAACCTTTTTGAAAGCATAATGACACAAAACATGATCATATTTATATGGTTCATTAGCATAAGGGAATAGCTACACATAGTGGAAATGACTGGGCTAAGCCCAGCCTGGCATCAGAATGAAGAAGGGATCAATATTTAGGCACACCTGTAACCATTTGTGGCACACCAGGATCACTGAAAAGCACTGCCTTACTGTATCTAATATCATCTATGTTCACAAGATGTGCTCAATATATCTGTCATAGGTGTTAATAAATTATTGGTTAGTCCTTTACATCCTTGTTAGTTGTATTCCTAGGTATTTCATTCTCTTTGTAGCAATTGTGAATGGCAGTTCATTCTTGACTTGACTCTCTTTTAGTCTCTTATTGGTGTATAGGAATGCTTATGATTTCTGCACAAACAGATAGAAAAACATTCCATGCTCATACTTAGGAAGAATCAATATAGTGAAAATGGCCATACTGCCCAGAGAAATTTATAGATTCAACACAGCCTCACCAAAAAGTGCATGAAGGATATGAACACATGGACATAGGGAGGGGAGCGCCACACACTGGGGTCTGTAGCGGGGGGAATAGGGGAGGGACAGTGGGGGGTAAGGAGGTTGTGTAGGGAAAACATGGGGAGAAATGTCAGATATAGGTGACAGGGGATGGAGGCAGCAAACCGCATTGCCATGTATGTACCTATGCAACAATCCTACATGTTCTGCACATATACCTCAAAACCTAAAGTGCTCTCTCTCTCTCTCTCTCTCCATATATATATATATATATATATATATATATATAAAATTGGTAAGTCTTAGAAATGCATGGTTTTTTTATGATTCTTATTTGATTATGATTCAATTATTTTCAGTTCTTTACTAGAGCATGTAATAATTTCTTCCAAAAACCACATAGAAATGATATGCCTCATGAAATGCAAAACTCGACTATTGAAGTAAATATGATTACACATGTAAACAGCTGCTTAAGTCCAACATGAACACCATGTTAACTATTTACAGGTACTATATCCTTTAAAATTAAAACAAAAACAAAACTATTCAGTACTTACCGGGTCCCTTCGCACGAGCTCTCCATTGGGCACTACTTCAACCAGATGGATAATGATAATCATAGAATTCAGAATGTAAGTAAGAAACATGTTCTTGTGCAGGGTTACCCTTTGGCAGCCAAGGCTCCTGGAAGAAAAAGTAACATAGAGCATTAACCAGTGCCAAAATGTTGGAGTACTTGGAAGAAAACATTTTGGTAATTTTTTCATATTTTCTTTAAAAACAGATGAGAGACCATATAGAAAAAAGTAAGGCTGGTCTCATCTTTTAGATTTATTACTACCTTTCTGCCTGATTTTTAAAAACACTTTTCCAATCATAGAAGCTCATAGTGTTCAGTCCTCAGGGTGACTTCATACAACAACTGAAAGAGTAGGTGATAAAATCACCTTTAATTATAACAAATGTAAAATTAATTAACAGAAGGACTCTTAGATTAGAAACTATTAGGGTTTGAGTGTGCTTCAAATGAAAAGCATACTGTTTATTGTTGTAACCAGGCAGGAAATATGTGGCCAGTGGGGTCACAGAGCATGAAGTCAGAACTGAGGCTACTTGTGACAAGGTACTGAATCTATGTCCTTGAGCCATTACATACACCCGCTTCACGTCTCCTGGCATTCTTCTGTCTCACCATTTCTTTTCACATCTTCTTAGATCTTATATTCCAACTAGAATAATCACTGTAGTTCCTCTTTTCCAACCCTCCTGATGGTGGAGCTCAGACACAGGCAGAGAATTCTTAATAGGCTCAAATGAAGTTTCATTATGAGGCATATTGTGATTTGGATCCAATGGGAGCTATCCAAATGCTGCTGCTTCCTGGCAGAGTCATTCCCCACTTTTGGGTGTTAAGCAATTTGGTGGGGCTTTTATTATTTTCTCCTCCGTTCATAAAATTGTACATATGTGTTGGTGTGAATGTTCACATGAATGAACATTAATTTGAATGTCCTATTTCATTTCTTGATGCAATGGAGAGAGCCTATGTCATGGCTATAACAAATTTGCAGTGATTATTCTAGACAAATGAAAATCTTATATTTACCATATTTGACAATGTAAAAAATATTAGTATAGTATCATTCACCATGTGAAAGCTTAAAAAATGCAGTTAATGATACCAACGACTCATCACACTATTCCTAAAAAAATCTTCATGGAATAAAGTTAGAAATGAGGAATTTTGAAAAGAAAATTCTGGGGAAAGATGAAATACAAAATAGCCTGGGTTTACTTACAATGCATTCCTATATTTCCAGTTCTAAGGAAAAACAGTTGTCAATTATCTGTGGTAAAAAGCAAATTTAAGTAATAAAGGCAGCTGTTAGAGGATAGTTTAACTATTATAGGTACAGTTTTCAACTTTTTGGGAAGCACAAATGGTAAATCATTAATAAATAATATTTTTAAAAATTTAACTTGTTGGAGCAGGGATAGGATGTAGAATTTCCATCCATGAGGCAGGCTCTGATAAAGATAGGATTCAGAGAGGAGCTTTCTCTCACACATACACTTCTATGGACTACTCTATTCAGCAGTACAGAAGTCTGTTAAATTAAACCCAACTGGTTTTATCGTAACATTAAAGGTGGGTTTCAAATTTAAATTTAAACAAAAAATTATTTATGTGAAACATCATGCTCATTTATACTGCATAAATTCCTATCTTGCGACTGCTGCAATCAGTACAGTTGAATCTGTGACCTGCCATCTTTCATACAGTCACAAGAGCAATTTATAATTCTCACTGGAAGTTAATTATGGGATTCATTATTTAATTCAGCCTGGCTTAGACCAGTGATAATTGACATTATCTAGAACTAAAGAGTATGAATGAACATATACAGTGATGTTATTCTTATGCCTGGTTTTCTTTTGACTGGGGAGAGTTCAATATTCTGCTGTTGTGCATTAGCTTAAATAACTTCATTAACTTCATTCTCCTGTGTAAACTCAAACCACCCTGAATAAAATATACTTCCTCCACGTCCAGCTTACTCTCTTGTGTCCCTGCTTTACTTTTCTTCTTAACATTTACCACCCTCTGACACAGTATATATTTATTTATTGCCTGTTATTCTCTCCTTTTCTCCCACTAAAATGCAAGTGCTAAAGGAATTTACATACCTAGAACATGGTTTGACACATCATTGGGCTTAATAGTCATTTTTTGAATTTAAAAATATAATTAAGAAAAATTTCCTGTTTTGAGCCATGATCACTAAGCAACTTTCCAGTACATCAAAGAATTACATTAAATGCTAAATAATTTCCTTCTTTATACTTCATATCATACTGAACATTTGCCAAATTCTTCAATTTCATATTAACTAGCTAATATGGAACATTAACCTATTGTTCAACACTAGCTGAAAATAAACATTGTATTGTATGTATACATACAAATAGTATATACAGATATAGTATATATAAAGACACAGCATACATAAATATATAAAGATATGGTATATATAGATATAGTATATATAAAGAATACTGTATATATATATAATCATATATATTTTTTCATTGAAATATAGAGAAAATGATAGTTTAAAACTAGATAAGTTGCTAGCCTCCAAAGAAGTATGACTAATACATGAGTTTCTGTTTTTTGAAAGTTTTAATATAATTTTTGCTCATTGAGTTTTAAAATTTTTATTATACTTAATTGATGACATTTACAGTCATCTTTTTGAAGTGAGTCAAAGGAACTGCAAATTTTTCAAAATTCATTCAAGAATCCAAAATATATTATTGTATACTCGCTATGATCCAGACCTGGTAGATATCAGGAAGATAACAGAGGACAGGGACCTTTAATACTATGCTATTTTTTTGTTGTTTTTACTGTGATAATTGTTCTGAAGAAGAGGTATGGGATGCTAGAGAGGATTAACTGAACTTAACATTAAAAATCCTCAGCAAATATCATGTCACTTAAATGAACATGAGAGAAGCTGACAACATTTTCTGTCAGATCTGAGATGTCTTAGGTAAAATAGCACCAACTTGACACTAGCTATATTCTATTCCCTTGATAAAAAACAAACAAACAGGCATTTAGATGGACAGAACATTGCTTATTATTTGAGAGATGGGAAATTGTAAGTACCATAAATTCTCCAATAGTGGAAGGATGAGACAACATAATCTACATCTACAACATAATCTACCAATCAAGGTGTCATTCAAATATGAGGAAGAGATAATGATTTACTTGAGCATGAATCTCAAGATGTCATATTTTAAGGTTAAAACAAAAAGTCATTTTCATGGTTATTGCTTATCTGGTGTAAATCTTTCAAATTGAGGAATTTGTTTCAAGTTATTAGTACCCTATGTGTGTGAGAGTGTGTGCTTTTTGGGAGCTTGTAGTTTTATAAGTCAGCATTTAATTTTGGTTTTGAGCTTTGCTGATTGTGTAAATCAGTTTGATATCACAGGGTGAGGAACAGCAGTATTTTCTATTATATAAGACACTGTAATTATAGTCACATTCAAAGCAAACAAAGTAGCAAAAAGAAAACAAGTAAAAGTTGTTGTGAAATTACTGGTGCATGGGAAAATATGAATTAGGAATCATTTCTGTAATTGGTACAAACCCATCATATCTTCTAATGTAACATTAAGTTTTCATTGACCTAGGGATCATATGTTATTCATGATGAACATGAGAACTGAGAGGAAGAGAGGAAGTGATGTGAAATGGATTGCATTAAAACTCCTGAAAAAATTCAAAATATGGTATATTGTATATCTTCCCTATTTGACAAGGACTTTTTCCTTTTGATTTGGTACAAAATCCTTATCTTTAATAAATTGTGTTTCAATAAAAATTCTTGCTTTTCCTATTACTACTGTTCTGTGGGTGAAGAGTATGCTGTGGTATGATCAACAGTTATCTTTGGTGTCTGTCCTGCCACTGGTGAGTTGGAAGAAAGGAGGCCATCTTTGATACCGTTGATTTCATGCTTTTCTTGGAGCAACAGGAAGGTAGCCAGAGATGTAAAATGGTGGTGGATACTACACAAGATAAAGACTCATATATCCACCCAATATGTAAAGGTGACATAGAGCAAAGAGAATACTGAGTAAGTAGTCGAGAAATCAATCTTCCTTCAGGATGCCCCACTGGAAGCCACCTTTGTTGACCATGATGATTACTTTTTTGTCAATGTGGCCAATGTAATGTACTATAGACAATAATATGAAGAGACTGTCTTCCAACCTATATTTCTATCAACTTTCAGGCAAGAAAAATGAATATTTAAAATACCAATCAGAAAGGCATGGGTAACACTCAGTCAAAATAAATGCTAATGAATGGTCTGTTATGCTTTTCATGAGATGATACAGTGAGAGGCTGAAGTATTAGTATTATTCCACAGAAAAGCAAATTGATAAATTGTAATTAAAATTTATGAGTGAGTGAATTTATTGGAAATTTGCTGAAAATTGTCAAGAACAAAGCTCAAATATAATGCCCACTTATGTGGCTTTCTTAAACCAATCTTTCCTAAGAGTATCTTCATTTTAGCTCTCTTGCTGACACTTACTATCAGCATCTAGCAGTGAGAGATTTTGCTGAACTAATTTGATTTTTATATTTAATCCCTTTTCATATTATCACTCCAATTTTTTCTGCAAATGTTTTAAACTAAATACTATCCTAGTAGTGCAGTCTTCTATCTTTAACTGGTGTACCAGAAATGACCTGCATATCATCTTGAATATTATTTAAACTTTTGAACAGTTAAGATTTTTAATGCTGACTTTTCTGTGAATTAAACCTGAGATTTTTTCTTTCTACCTTTTCTCTTTCTCTTGGAAGAAGGTATAGAAGATCAATTTTCTCCTATTAAAATGAAGACTTTGTATACATTTTTACATTAATTTTCCAGCAGCACAAGGAGCATGATTTCTGTTTGCTTTAATGTTGCAGTTTACAATCTGCCCCCACACTCTCTTGAGGGTTCAATCAGAATTATTTTGCTTTGGGACTAACTGGAGTTGAGAAATATTCTATTTTGCCCATGTGCTGCACTTTTACACACCCATCGTCAGGAGCTTAATATAGAAATGATCATTGAAAAATATTCTTAATTTCTTTGCTGATTTGGCTCTGCCTTTTATCTTCTCCTGCATGCTTGGGATAAAATTACATTAAGATTAAAGGCATGCTTTAATAAATTAATTCCGAGTAATAGCTCAAATTTTTAGTGAAGTATTGGCAGTTCCAAAGCCTCCTGTATGATCAGTGACTTTAAATGGCTCTGCAGGCCTCCTTAGCCTGCTTTTTGAGGAGGACAGTTGCAGGGTTCCTCCTTTTTAAAAGGCACTTTTAAGGAATTCTGAGGGCTTTACAGTGAGATATCAGTGGAATGATTATGAATGGGGCATCAGCTCTCAAAGTGGAGCTGGGTAACTTTTCACTCTGGTTTCATGAAAGTTTTATAAAATTGTTTGGGGTTGGCAAAATTACTGAGACCTGGGAATATAGAATTAAGCAAGGGAGTGATGATATTTTTGGCTCAGGTTGCACACAGATGATGCCATTTAAGTGCATAAATTATGAAACCTTCTATTGTAATGTGCATTAAAGATCTTAGAGGTGATGTGGAGTATTTGAAAATAAATTCTGGAACAAATTTGCTAATTTACAAAAAAATTCCAGTGAGAGATCAGTATTATTTTCCACTTCCACAGTCACTTTAATATTAGTTTCTGGAATTCAAATATAAAAAAAGATGAAAGGGTCAAGGACATAGTTAAATTTTAAGAAAACAGATGCCCTTGATACTTTTCGTTTGGGTAAGGTTTAAGATACGATAGAAAACAAGTATAAAAATTTATATGGCTTTTTTGGGTTTAAGTATGTGGCATCTCAGTATGTATCTCTTGTGTCTGCTCTGAAGAACCAGCTATTTCAGTTTATTTCTTCTCATTATTAGACTCAGATGATAAATCTGTAAGACTTGTTTTTCTTCTCCAGATTTAAGTTGCTGTTTCTTGGGTTCTTAGAACTGAGAGACAGTAGGGCAAAGTTGGGTGATTTCTAGACAATTTGCCCCCACATTCTCTCGAGGGTTTGATCAGAATCATTTTGCTTTGTTACTAACTGGAGTTGAGAAATTTTCTACTTTGCCCATGTGCTGCACTTTTACACACCTGTCTTCAATAGCTTGATATATAAATGATCATTGAAAAATATTCTTAATTTCCTCGCTGATTTGGCTCTTACATCTCCTCACTTATTTAAGTGACCGGAGAAATAAGGAACTAAAAAATATCCCTTTGACATTATTACCTTTAAAGTCCTGACTACAATTAGTTGCATGATTATAAATTTAGGGAATTTTTCTTTCAATTTTTTATGATTATATTTAAAAATTTTTTTAAATATACTTTAGTGGCATATTTTAAAACAAAAGTTGTTTGAGAACCATGATGATGTATTTGTTTGCCCTAATAAAATGCAATTGAAAAATGCAGATATTCCAAGATTAATCATGTTATGTGATTACTGTATTCTGATCATTATCACTGAAAGTACTCTTCTATTCTAATTTGAGTAATTAATACTTCATGTCTGTTTACTTTGTTTATCAGTCTTTCTCCCGTTAAATCATTTATGGAAAGAGCTCATTGTCTGTTTGCTCATGCTATCATTTGCTATTCAGTTGAAAACTTACTATTCAATTCTATTGCTTAGTCCATATAAGAATCTTGACTAAGATACAGACAAAGATTGAAAGATGATGAAGGAAAAAAGAATAGCACTTGTGCTAAGGATGTATTTACAGGTGATTATTCTCCTCTTGGTTTAACTTTCCTTAGTATTATCCTGACAATATTTTAACAAAAATCAAATTAAGATTCTATTATTCTGTTTTTTAAATTTATTTTTTATTGAAGTTAAGTATAGATGTGTAATTTACCATCTTTACCATTTTAAGTATATAGTAGTGATAAATACATATATGTTCTCCGCCCCCCATTCTATATGTGAATCACTGTACATTTAATCACATATCACATTTTTTAAGTGTGGATGATTGTCATCTGAGTCTACAAAAGGGCTTTTGTTTATCATTTCTGTGATACTACCATGACTATCATTGCTTCTTATAATAACTATAATAACAAGAATAATGATATCAAACACATATTTCACCTATGTTCAGACATGAATCCAGACACCTTACATGTATTATTTCATTTTTATCCAATTTACTTCAGTTTCTGACATATTTACTGAACTGTGGTGTGTCTAGAAAAAATACACATGTGGCTTACTCTGAATCTACATTTGTGAATATACTTCAGAAAACCAGCTTAGGACAATATTATGACTGCTTTATTTTCACTAGGATTTGTTGTGATGAAAGCATATATAACAGTTTCTAACTTAAATATACCATTACCTGTAAAGATCCTATTTTATATTCACCTAAGATGACAAGATAATTTAAAGTATTCAAGTTGTTCCTTGTGTGTTTTCTTATATTTTGCTTTCTAGCATAATTGTGTACCATAAAACCTAAAGACAAGCATTATTTAAATTAGGTTTTGCAGAAACATCCTCTGATGTGCTTACTTATTCCTTAGCTTTACAAATGCTAACAAGTAATAATTAGGCAGGGTATATGTCGATTTGTGGCTATGGTCTCTAAAAATTAGAGTGGGGGTTAAAAAAGGTGGAGTATCCTCTCCTCCATCCTCAACAGAAACTTACCCGTTGTAAAAGGAACCTTTACCATATTACAACAGTGTGCTTATAGGTTCACAGGACTGTCTTATTTTGGGAAGCCTCGAGGCATAGTGCTTTTGAAAACGATATAAATTTATCCTGTTCTCCCCCTAAAAAGGGTTAAAAGCATATTTAAATTCATTTCATTTTTCTTACTACTTCATGAGTCCTAATACTGCATATTGCTTGTAATTTGCTGAAGACCCTTCCCCACCTCCACCTTGAAGAATTCACCATTTATTTCTGTAACTTTAAGGAGGAAATAAAGAGCAGATGCTGTAAGTGTACTTACTTGAAAAACACGAAAATCCCCAGGGAAATCACTAAGGTGAAAATTGATAAAGAATGACCCACAATAGCCAAATAGTAAAGGACGAATGCATCCTGGACAACAAAAAGTAAAAAAAAAAAAAAAAAAAAAAAAAAAAAAATTAATGAATGATTTATCAGAGAGAAAATTGTTTCTATTCCTAAATATGTGTAAATCAACAAATGTTTTCCTCCTTTTAAAAACCTACTATAATTATAACAAATATTACAGAGAATGAAATTATGTTTATTTTTATTCATATTACATTATGAAAATAAATTGTGATTTTCAAAGAATAATGACCCTTGAGATTCAAAAATCTATTTCAGAAGTAGTTTTTTCTTTCCTTTGGTTTTTTATTATGCTTTAAGTTCTGGGGTACATATGCAGACCTTGCAGGATTGTTACATAGGTATACACATGCCAGGACGGTTTGCTGCATCCATCCCCACCGTCACCTACATTAGGTACTTCTCCTAATGTTATCCCTCCCCAATCCCCCCACTTCCTGCTCTTCCTCCCTTGGTCCTCCTAACTCCCAACAGGCCCCAGTGTGTGATGTTCCCCTCCCTGTGTCCATGTGTTCTCATTGTTCAACACTCACTTATGAGTGAGAACATGTGGTGTTTGGTTTTCTGTTTTTGTGTCAGTTTGCTGAGAATGATGGTTTCCAGATTCATCCCTGTCCCTGTGAAGGACATGAACTCATCCTTTTTTATGGCTGCATAGTAGTCCATGGTATTTATGTGCCACATTTTCTTTATCCAGTCTATCATTGATGGGCATTTGGGTTGGTTCCAAGTCTTTTCTATTGTAAACAGTGCTGCAATGAACATACATGTGCATGTGTCTTTATAATAGAACAATTTATAATCCTTTGGGTATATACCCAGTAATAGGATTGCTGGGTCAAATGGTATTTCTAGTTCTAGATCCTTGAGGAATTCCCATACTGTCTTCCACAATGGCTGAACTAATTTACACTGCCACCAACAGTGTAAAAGCATTCCTATTTCTCCACATCCTCTCCAGCATCTGTTGTCTCCAGATTTTTTAGTGGCGTGAAGTGGTATCTCAATGTGGTTTTGACTTTCACTTCTCTAATGACCAGTGATGATGAGCATGAAGTAGTTTTAAATGCATTAAAATTTATCATGTCAGTTTCAATAATAATATAAAGTTCCTTGAGATTATTCAAAAATATATTTCAGAAGTAGTTTTAAGTGCATTAAAAATTATCATCCCTAAGCCCAGTAAACAATCCTCATAGGTTTTAACTTCTGGAATCTTTTAGACAGTGGATGCCTAATTCTATACCACAGAACTGGCAGAATAATAATCCACTTTCCAAACTGTCCTGACTCTCAGTATATATAGAGGGTAGAGAGTATGGAGGCGGGTTTCTGTGCCTTTGTTTAATATTATATCATTAGTATTTAGTTGGTTGAAGCTGAAAACTTTCCCCTTGGCAGCCATTTGATAGTTCTTTTTTTCACAATCATGGTTAATTTTATTTATTCTCCTATAACATTATGTTGATTTGGAAGAATGTCTTTATAAAATGCATCATGTCATAGCATCTTTTTTCCTAGTCATCACAGTCTTTCCTTTCCTTATAATATAATTTTATCACAGAGAAAGGAGAGATTGATCAGTCACCCATCTCTCTCTGTCTTCTCTGTTTCTCTTTGTCTGTTTCTATGTTTTTGGTCTTCTCTCTTTCTGTCTCTCTCTTACTCTCATTCCATTTTGACACTAGCCTTTACATTTTGTATTATTTAGCCAATCTCATCAGTTATAATTGAAATAGACTTGAATCTATAGCAACTAGGGATTTTGTTTTCACTTGCTGTTTTTCTTAGTGAAGCATAATTTGTGTATTATTTTGTAGCTGTACTTGAATCTCTTGACTTTTGGTCTTAAGTTCCTTCCACAGTTTGTCGGGTCTTTGTATGAATGCAAATGTAGTGTAGATAAGTTGAATAACTTTTATGAAGTTCTTTGACTTCCTGGAATAAATGTGGCATTTATATGTCCTTGAACATTTTGATTCTTGTCAATTTCCTCAGGAAGAGTCACTAATTCTGCTAAAATGCATTCAAACTGTTCAGAGCCCTTTGTTGATTATGTGCATTATTGCTGTCCTGAAATGAACATTCCTTTTCTAGACCTTAAAATTTTTAAATAGATTAATTAGCTTCTCCTAAGTTGTGCCTCTTGCATCATTTGACCAGGCATTCCATATTTTTTGGCATTTTCATTGTTGATACCACTCTCCTAATAGCACTTTTTACCCTTACAGGGAATGTTAATAAAGTTAGAATAGTTGGTTTATAGTTGGAGTTGATAAAATCTTGAGATAGCTTTCTTGGGAGGAATTTAAGAATCTTAAAAAAGAAATAGACACATACGCACAAACATTCACCTCCTATCTTTTCCCCCAGTAATTAATTTTCTGGCTGTTTTTCTAAGTTCACTAGTAGACAATATCAGGAGTGGCATTTTCTAAAAGTTCTTATTTCTAAATAGTTTGCTATGTAGAACAGTCTTTCCCCTTAAAATACTGTTTTTAATTTGGATATATATCTGCATCCCCTCTTCTGTCTTTAAAAAATCTTTGCACACTTTATTTCTAAGAAAAATGTATATAACTTAATTCGTATTTTCAATTGCTTCCAGAGTACTCCTTTTAAAAACATTTGTTCTTCTGAAGTACAGTTGTCCAAATGCATAAGATTAAATCAGCAACTCATAATAGTTGCCATATTTTTGTCATTCTCAAGGTTGAGTTTCTTTTTTAAATGAATTCTAAGTTGGTTTCTTCAAATTTTAATGTGACTATATTTACATAGAATATTTGTGGAAAGCATTTTAATCATTATATTAGGTGCCTAGAGAGGAGCATTTCTTCTTTAAATTATTTCCTTCTTAGATGTGGCCAGTGTGTGTTAGAAGGCCAATGACAGCACTAAGAATGATTTTGACTTGCACTATTTTCAGCCATTCAGTTAACATGATTATAATTTTTTTCTGTAACATCATAATCATTACTCATTTGGAAAATTCCCTGCTCTGTGACATAGCTTATTAATCAGACTTTATTAACAGCTCTCCATTAGGCTGTAGACATACATCTGATTCTCAGGGTGACTAAACCATTTGTAAAGAGATAAGTGGCTGTGGTGCCCTTAGCCTGTGCTTGTGATGAGATGTCCCTCCTATTCAACTGGTCTCTAAGCTATTTGTTTATTTCATTTGTTTTTATTATTTGTTTTGTTTTTTAATAAAAGAAAACTTATCTGCACCCTGAAAGCATCTGAATAACAAACAAAAGCACTAACGTGCTTTTAGCTTTCAACTGAATAATTATTTAGTATACAAGCCTATCTTTGAAGGAAATAGTAGATTTATGTTAGAGTCAGCTGGGTTGCTTAGAAACACCCTGCACAACTAAACATTGACCAACTGCAACTCCCAGTTCTGTGGGATGAGAAGGCTGTAGACTTAGTGAACTTTTCAGATTTTTGATGCATCTGAGGAAGAAAGAGTATCTGTTCTCTACCCCCCGATTTTCTTAGATGAATTTTTCTAAGCAGAGATAATATTCAAAATATTTAACAGCCAGTAAAATGCAAATTCTAACAAATAAGAATGAACTTTGACTGAAAATGATCTAAACAGCCATACCTGTATCAATGGGCTGATGAGATGCTCCACTTTAGGAGTTCTTTCTATGCCTTATAGTAAAAACTAAGGTCATGGCCAAAACAAGGGAAGCATGTTATCTTACGACTTTTGTGGAAAAATCTGTAGTTTTGAAACTCTTCCAGGAATAGAGGATGCTAGAGAGTCCGTTGAAATGTTGTTTACTTTCTGGCATCATTGGGAACCCTTTCATCTGTTCTATGGACACTTATCCCCCTGCCATAAACGGTCTGATTCTGTATGCTCACAGAATTCAATTGACTCTTGATTCTGAATACCAACCAAGTTGTGAAACGTCATTTTCGCTAATGCTACTCTAGAGATTCCCTAAAATTTACCAGTTATCCTATGATTTCCTTCCACAAAACCTGTTGACTTCTTGGTAGCAGATATTTTACAGTTATGCATTCATTTCTTTGTACAAATAATGACATTCTCACCTAATTGTGAAATGTGAAGTAGAACCTACCTGCAGTTTCTCAGGAGTGAAAGCATTGCACATAGTATAGTTGGACCAGGTTCGATTGTTTTCAGGATGTTTAAACCAAACACCTTTTTCATCACAGTATTTTGTAGCCTTTTCTGTTAATGAAACATAATAGTTATTACATTAATATCTCAAAATCCCAAGAAGGAAAAATAATAAAGCTTAAAAGCCATTCTAACATGTTAATCACTTTATAGAACTTTAATATGAATATGTGAATAGAGACTACCACGAATCATGTATTATACAAAGTATATTAATATGCATTGTCTCATTTTATCTTTAGCAAAGCCATGCAAAGTAGGCATTCCTATCTTCATTTTAAAAATTCAAAGCAGACAGTGAGAGGAGTCAAGGAGCTTGAAAAGCCACTGAGATTGAACCAGGATGATTTAGATCCAAAGACATGGATATGCGTCAGACTCCAACATGAGTGCTACCTATACTCTACCTCATAATTTTTAAGAATTATATATATATATACATGTATATATATATTTATATGTATATATATACATGTGTATATATATTTATATGTATATATATACATGTATATATATATGTGTATATATATATGTAATTCGTATATATATACGTATATATGTGTATATATATATGTGTATATATATATGTAATTATACTTGAAGTTTTGGGGAACATGTGCAGATCTTGCAGGATCGTTATGTAGGTATACACATGCAATGGTGGTTTGCTGCATCCATCCCCTCATCACCTACATTAGGTATTTCTCCCAATGTTATCCCTCCCCAATCTCCCCACCCGCCACTATCCCTCCCCTAGCCCCCCAGCCCCCAACAGACCCCAGTGTGTGATGGTCCCCTCCCTGTGTCCATGTGTTCTCATTATTCAACACCCACCTATAACTGAGAACATGCGGTGTTTGGTACTCTGTTCTTGTGTCAGTTTGCTGAGAATGATGGTTTCCAGATTCATCCATGTCCCTGCAAAGGACATGAATTCATCCTTTTTTTATGGCTGCATAGTATTCCATGGTATACATGTGCCACATTTTCTTTATCCAATCTATCATTGATGGGCATTTGGGTTGGTTCCAGGTCTTTGCTATTGTAAACAGTGCCAAAATGAACATACATGTGCATGTGTCTTTATACTAGAACAATTTATAATCCTTTGGGTATATACCCAGTAATAGGATTGCTGGGTCAAATGGTATTTCTAGTTCTAGATCCTTGAGGAATTCCCATAGTGTCTTCCACAATGGCTGAACTAATTTGCACTGCCACCAACAGTGTAAAAGCATTTCTATTTCTCCACATCCTCTCCAGCATCTGTAGTCTCTAGATTTTTTAATGATTGCCATTCTAACTGGCATGAGGTGGTATCTCAATGTGGTTTTGATTTGCATTTTTCTAATGACCAGTGATGATGAGCACCAAAAGCAATGGCAACAAAAGCCAAAATAGACAAATGGGATCTAATTAAACTTAAGAGGTTCTGCACAGCAAAAGAAACAATCATTAGAGTGAACTGGCAACCAACAGAATGAGAACAAATTTTTTCAAGCTACCCATCTGACAAAGGGCTAATATCCAGAATCTAATCTACAAAGAACTAAAGCAAGTTTACAAGAGAAAAACAAACAGCCCATCAAAAAGTGGGCAAAGGATATGAACAGACACTTTTCAAAAGAAGACATTTATGTGGCTAACAAACATATGAAAAAAATACCTCATAATTTTTTAAGACATTAAACTTTTGATTATAGATGGAAACTACTGGAGAAGAACAAGACCATACCTTTCTTTATTTATTTGCAATGTTTTTTCATTAGATTAACTGTATAAAACAGTAGTTTTTTTTTTAATCAAATGATCAAATCTTCCCAATCACATATGGTTAAATCAAATAGAACAAAGAAATCCACAACTAAGGAATATGTCAAGCGGTCATTTTTCTGCCTCCCAAGAGATTTCATTTGAATAATCTCTCTTCATCCCACAGAAAATGTATAGGAATCCAGGCTTTAGTTTTTATTATTTACTTATTAAAATACCTCATAGATGCTAGTTAATGAAATTCTTAACTCAGCTGGATTGGCATACTAAATGGGGGCCAGGCCCTATGCTAAACACTTAGCAGAATTTTCTTCTTTAACGTTAATGATGGCACTTTGAGGTGAATATTGTTTTCCCATTTTATATATAAGTAAATTTTACTTCCATAACTAGCAGGTAGTAAGGTCAGGAATCAAATCTGAGTCTATTTGATTCCAAATCTATTGCAGAGCTATTAAGCACCAATTAAGCTGCTTATTTCTGTGGCAATGTGTTAAGTGGTCAAAGCGAACACAACAGCCAAGCCCTTATTGTTAAGATGCAGATGTAGGTGAGAAAATAAGATGATGGAAATGGCAACTGGAAGTTGGATTTGGCATAGAAATAAAAGATTACACTGGTTTGACCCATTTTTTTTTCATTGCTTAGCAAAGAAGAGGATAGCCTGGCATCTTACAATCCTTCCAACCCACAGGTCAGTGATTCTGGGGTTGCTCACTGAGGTTAACAGTTCTACTTAGACTAAAAGTTTTCTGGAGGAAAAGGACAAGAAGACTTTCTTTGAGCCCTGAGAAAGAACCTTTCCAAGTGCTTGCTTTGTGGTGCCTGCTACTTCCCATCAGGCTTATTATTTTTTCAATTATTTTTGTGTGATATATACAGTGCTGGTTACAGTATGATAAAGTCTTGGTACTTTTTGAATTTTAATTTTTTAGGAAGTGTATATGTATCAGTACAAAGTGAAGTTCCAAAGTTGATAGAAATAGTAAGTTCTCATGGTGATCACTTACGATCTCTTTGGTGAAATTCACACTAAAATATTAGGCCATGATAGCAAATACTGTAATTTTTAAAAATAACATTTGATAACTTACTATATGCCAGACCCTACATCAAGTGCTGTATCTTAAAAATAAGTAAGAAAACGTCTTTGTTCTGTATTTTGCTTAATTATTAACTTAGTATATATCTGAGATTCTGGGTAAAGTGCATGAGACTGGGAAATCACAATATATATTGGGAGTAAAAAGTGGTCAGAATGGTGAGATAATATTTATCAAGACATTATTACCAGTAGGATAAACACATTGTAAAACTAGTATATTGTTAGCAAACAACTGAAATGGCACTTAAATAAAATTAGAATTTAGTTGAATTGCTGTCTAAAAAAATCCTCTCATTTGTATTATAATACTGGTCTACAATATTCTAATTTGGACCTGGAAATCTCATCAGTGATCAAGGTTATCTATATTTCATTCCAGTGACCTCAAGAATTTTAGGTAATGTTGTTGGCAACAAGAGAATATTTAAATTCTAACCTCTGAATTAGCCAAGCAACTGAAAGAAAAAATTAGATTGAATTAAATAACATAAAAATAATCAGCAAATAAAATGAATATACTTGCCAAATTTAATCTGAGTTATTCAGATATTCTTTAGTTCTTCAAAGCACCCATGCAATACGTTTATTGTCTGAGAGAGCAAATAGCAACCCTAGATTGGCATAATACACAGGGAGATTTTGCAAGTGTATTTGGAATATTTACATCTTTGATAATTTCTCAGGGAAAATGTTTTTGAAGCATTTTTCTATGTTGACAAACGCAAAGTGTTGTCATACCTATAGATAATGCTTTTATAGATGGCTATTTTCTTTTTTAGCACAAGATGTGGAAGTCAAAATCATATGGTAATATTTGAAAAACACTGCCATAGTGTTTATTTTTTTTTTTGTGGCAGAGTCTCGCTCTGTCCCCAGGCTGGAGTGCAGTGGTGCAATCTCAGCTCACTACAGCCTCCACCTCCTGAGTTCAAGCAATTCTCCTGCCTCAGCCTCCTGAGTAGCTGGGACTACCGGCACCTGCCACCACATTTAGCTAATTTTTGTATTTTTAGTAGAGACAGGGTTTCACCATGTTGGCCAGGATGATCTTGAACTCCTGAACTTGTGATCCACCCACCTCGGCCTCCCAAAGTGCTGGGATTACAGGTATGAGCCACCATGCCCTGGCCAACAAACTCTAAAGTATCTCTATTGGACGCTAACAATGTGTGGAAAAGGGTTAGAACTAATCACAAAAAATTGATGTTGAAAATTTGTCAGTGATTTTGCTAATGCTATTCGTCAATTACAACCCTTCCAAGCTCATTTGCAATTTTTAAAAGTGGCCACATTTCATCTTTATTATATTGCAAAAAGTAGTTTTTTAAAATAAAATGAACATAATTTGGTTTATTGAAGTTATGTAGCCATGTATGGGAAAATATATTGTATGCAGAAAGAGATATTACTCTTAAAGGAGGTCATTCAACTCATAAACAAGACTATAGGAAATGGTATTTTTTGTTTGTTTGTTTTAACTAAAGTCTAGATCTAGGCATTTCTTGGCATTAACTGTTGCAACTATCAAGAATTTGTTCTCCTTCACCTCACGAGTCTTTCAGTATTTGAAGAAAGGATTATGTTTGCTCTGGGTCTTCCTTTTACAAACCAAACATCCCCCATTACTGTTCGCTTACAGCCTGGAGACTTTCCACATGTGCTTTGATAATTGTTATTTTTCTCTAAAATACTTTATGTTTGGACTGACCCATGAAAAGTAGGGTATGCCTCTCTCACTCTAGAGTCATGTGGAGTAACTACTTGCAGATTCTGACGTCCTATCCCTTGAGATTCAAATTCTATTGATCTGGAGAGGGAGCAGGCATCTGCATTTTTTTAAAGCTCACCACTTTTTTTTCAGTTTTTGAAAGGACATCTGGGTGGAGAATCACTGTCCCAAATCATATTTGGACCATCTTAGCTTTGTGCCATTAACGTTGTTTGTTTGGCTTTAAGTGCAGGGCTGTAAATGCTTCTTTGTTAAATTTGCTTTTTACATTCCAGCATATTCCTTAGAATGTCAGCCTATTTTGAATTTCAATACAGTTGTTTGCTCTTTCACTATCTGTCTTTCACCAAAGACTTTTTCCAAAGTGAAATCTCTGGCATTTCATTAATGTGTTTTGTACATCATTAACATGTAAGCTTTAGATCAATAATAAAATCCTAAAGAATTTAAGTTTGGTTTATGTGTGTGTGTGTGTGTGTGTGTGTGTGTGTGTGTGTGTATATATATATTCCAAACTTAAATTATAAATATATATATATTTATAATTTAAGTTTGGAATATATGTATATTTTTCAGATATACTTTTAAAGTGAATTTGTCCCTCAGCTGAGAGGTTTCTATATAAGAACCAGGCTGAAAAGATGGATCGATGCCTGGAAATCTCTGATTTGTTGAACAAAACCTTGCCTTGTAGTCAATATTTATATATACTTTGGCAAGAGCCCCACTGCTACTTTGGAACTGGTCTAGTAGCCTCAATTGCACTACAGCTCTTTGTGCCAATCAAGTTACTTCTAATGTAGTAGTCAAATCAAGATTAATGAAACATCATTTATTGGGAATAATCAATAAGGGACTGAAGGATTATCATCAAATAGCATTTAATTAGAGATTCCAGGAATGTAGCTGGTTTAGGACCTGGCACAAGGCCCTTTCTTTCTTCACATCCCAACTTTTCCATCACAGTGGGAATTCCCAGAAGTGGTTGGCCTGCACTGGTTTTAAAGGTGGTCCCCTGCGATCCAACTTCCATTATCTTGCCTTACTGAGGTAAAATTTTGTTTTCAGGGACAAATTCGATCTTTTAGTCTTGAAGGAAGCACAGAAAGCATCTTTCAAACATTGTTTCAGGGGTAAACTCATTTGTCTTCTTTAATTGGGATCCTAGAGCCACTTAACCCCTGTAGGCTCAGGCTTACTTTACTCTTGTGAAAAAATTTCATGCATTAACAGGGACTTCTATGTTGTGCCCGTAGTTAATTCATTTAGTTTCAGCATCTGGGTCTCCTTTGTAACTAAGATTTCTACCCCCTTTTCTGTGAGACAATTGAAGATTTTTAAAAACTCACATTTAAATAAAAATATTCATAGAGTTTTAGAAAAGCTATGTTTATAAACCAGAATTTAATACCAACATGTACAACTGACCAGCAATATAACTTTAAAAAAAAAGGACAGCTTGTAATATGGGTACAACTAAGTAGTATTTCAATTAAGGAAATGCCTCAGAACCTGCTAAAATGTGGAGTATGATTAGGTAGGTACATTTTGTATCTGATTTTCTTTTCAAAACCATGAAAACTCTAAAAGCTTTATAGCAAGAACATAAAATGAAAATAAACAGTCTACCTGATGGATCAAAATCTGGAAAATAATCTGGGCAGAGCTGATAGGACAGTACTCCAGCCGGTGTGTCATCCCAGCACAGCCATCCATCCCAGGTGCGATTGCAATACGGACCTGGCCATTTAGAAGAAAATTAATATTGAATCCATGTGGATGTAACTAAAAGAGAAGATTGATCCCAAGACAATATTACATGTAGCTGAACTCACTACACCAGTCATAGCCACCTACATTTCAAACAAGCCAAAGTCATTTATTTTGGAAATAAAGTTTCTAAACTTTATTTATTCTTTATTCTTAGCATATCTGTGACCAAATTATCTCACTGACAAACAGGGTTCTATTCCTATTTTGTAAAAAGTTCCAAGGTTGAGCCATCAAAAAAGCAAATAGCCCCAAAGATTGCAAGACCCTGTCTCTCAAAAGCAAAAACAAAAACTGCACCAAACCATGAAGATTTACGTCTACAAAGATATTCAAAAGAATCAGATCCAGGCTTTCAAGAAAGTTCAAAAAAATTATTTTAAAAATGAACAAAATGCTCAGAAAACTCAGAAAATATCAGTCCTGTGTTTTTATTGTCTCATTGGCTTCAAAGAAATGGTCTCTCCTCTGGTCAAAGTTATATCTAATCCCTGTTCACTTCTTGATAAATACTGAGACTACCGCAGACAGAAGAATAACATGTATCTGCCTTTCTGTTAACTTGATGTTTTTGTTTAAAGGAAAATGCTAAAAATAAGAACTACAAACTAAAACTTGAACTATTTGAAAGCAAAGAATGTATAGTAACAGAGTACATTTAACCATTTTTTTCCCTACTAAGTTGGGTTGTCTTAAAATGTACATGGTTATAGGCCAGATGCAGTGGCTCAGGCCTGTAATCCTAGCACTTTGGGAGGCTCACTTGAGCCCAGGAGTTGGAGACCAGCATGGACAACATGGCAAAACCCCATCTCTACCAAAAAATTACAAACATTTTCCAGGCAAGGTGGCATGCACCTGTAGTCCCAAGTGCCTGGTAGGCTAATGTGGCAGGATCATCCTGGGCAAAAGAGTGAGACTCTGTCTTGAAAAAAAAGAAAGTATTTGATTGTAAAAGATCTTACTGACTCTTTCCAAATGCCTCAGGGGACAAGTAGGGGAATTTAAAGGGATGTTACAATGAGTTTGCTCATCACATCTCCCCCTTTGTTTTTCCATGGGTCCTCTACAGCTAATAGAATATGTTTAGACCTGAAAATATATGGGCAGTCACAAAGAGCCATTCTAGAAAAGGTGGTAGACAAACAATGTCTGGCTAGGAGGTATCTTTTTCTAATTCTCCTGGAAACTGGGGCCAGAAAGGGTGGAAGAATAGTATGGGTTGCCAACCAATTGACAATTAAAGGGAAGGTACTACCTAATTAATCCAAGCAAGACAGAGTTTGATAGGTTCCACCTCAGGCAAGTTCTCTGCCCACTATTTTCCAATTCCCTTTCCTGTCAGTTTCCCTGTCCCCTCCCTCCCCCAGTCCTGTATTGTTCCTGCTCACCAGGTGTGAATACTGAGTTATTGCAGTAATTTTATCATGAGGGCAGATGTTAGCCAAACTGTAGTCAGATGAACTTGAATAAAGAAATTAGGCATGTCCATTGCATGAAATACACAAACATACCACAGTGTCAAAACTGCTGGCATATTAAATTAAAATTATTCAACACATATTTAACCATGAAAGAAAATATCTTTAATGGTGTTTCAACATATGTTCATTTATATTTTTCTTTTTACCTTCTCCTTGGTATGGGGGTAACTGCCTCATTCGCTCATAGCATTTGTACTGTGCATCCATCATCTTCTTTCGTCCTACGACGTAAAGAAATGGCTCCGGCTCTATTGTTGAATAGGTTTGATTTGAATTGGTAGGAAAAATTGTGGTTGGGTTCTGTATTAAAAAGAAAAATTGGTTACTTATAGACAGGAGGAATGGGTGAGCACAAATAAATGAGACAATGAAAAAGTTTTCGAAAATGTTTATTTTTCCTTCTCTAAGCAATACTTATTCATGGTCTCCATGTAGAATTCTTTTTCATATATATAACTAAAAATGTATTTACATTTCATTTACAGATTCTACCTGCAAGTCTTATATTTGCATGTTTCCATTTGCTATTGAAAATGGATAACACATACACACTCACACTCTTCTTTATCAGCTAGAATTGTTTTAATTTTACCATGATTCTAAAGTTTAAACAAAACAAATAATCTGATTTCCAAAAAATACAAATATTAAATCAACTTTGCCTTACTCTTAAGAATCATGAATCATGTTATTAAAAAATAGACATAGCTCAATAAATGTGCTTTTTTATTTGATTCTTTTAGCTAAATTATATTGGTGCTGTGTACACTGCCAGAAATTTACCCCATTTATTCCATGGAATAAACAAAATATGTTTTCTGCTCCTCATAATTGACCATAATCTCCTTAAATTGGTTTCAATAGCAGATGACCTGTACAGGGCAATTTATTTTCCCTAATGAAAATCAATGTATTTATTAGATATTTTTATCAGCACATTTGCATTTTGGGTACAGATTGACAATAGTTTTTTTCAGTTTCAGTTAATCATTACTGTCAGAAGTCTCTGTTTCTCAAAGGTAATATGTCTGTGACTGTTTGAAAAGATCACTCTGTCATACTGTCCTTTCTAACTTGTGTTTATACAGATTTCAGTTTCTTTTGTGGCTATGGCCAGTGTTTTTAGTGGTTCAGGAATCTGTGACTTTTTAATATGCATGGTCTGCATAGAGATTTTTTTTTTTTTTGTTTGAGAAGCCTAAAAACATCAGCCTATACTGACTTTCCTTTTTCTGAAGTTAGGAATACTGCTTAATATCTATCATACCCATTGTAACTTCAATTCTAAGATTGAAGTTTCTCCAATTGTATTGATGGCAGAAGTGGTGTTACGTACTCTCCTGTATGTGCCAGTTTCTAAACAAAACTCATCCCTATTGAGTTGACATATGTATTCCTAGATCTTCATGGTGAATTCTCATTGTTTTCCATGCATGTCATTGTGTATGTCTGACATGACAGCACATCACTAACTGCTAAGCTGTCCAGCACACAATCCAATCAAAATTCAAAGTTTGGAGGGAATAGGCAGCAAAAACAGTCAGGATGGCTACAGATACAAGGTAGAATTTGAATTGAACTTTGAATAAAATTATGTAGTTTCTGCATAGGCATAGGAGAGACAAAAGGCTTTTGGGATGGAGGGAGCTTTCCCACAGAAGTCTGGAGGTTGGAAATGACATGCATGAGCCATCGTGAGGAAACCATCTTGCCTGAAGGGGAGCATGTTTTAAGGTAAGAAGGTCAGGACTTGGCTTCCAAGACTCTGCATTATTTGATATTCAGATAACAAAAAAGAGTTAAAACTTGTTTTGTCACTTTGAGTAGGTTAGCGACCTCTCACTAGATCTGTTCCCTCAACCTAGGAAATGTAAAATAAGAAGACTAATATATAAAAATAATATTTATCATCTATGATATTGTGAAGATAAACAAGAAAATAAACACAAAGTGTCAGTGACATGAAAGTCAAAACATTTTAGCTAATATTGTTAAAACATGATAGTGTAACATAATATAGTATGACAAAGACATTTTATAGATTTTTGATCAGTGAAGGTTGTCAAAGGAGAATTTTTAGTAAAACTCATGCAGCAGGCATCAGATGTCCACAGGTTAAAGTTGCAGGGTGAGGTGGGGGCAACCAGGAAGTTGAAGGCCTGGCTAGACTGGATTCATCCATGCTGGAACAAGAAAGTGCCACTCTTAGCACCTTCTCAAATAATCAAAACATAAAGGCATATTTGAATACAAGGAATGTAAAACAGTAATAGTCAAATGGCCCAGATATTTAACCTAGATATTTGGGAAAAAAATAATTCCCAAGAAACAAGAGCTGCTTGGAAAGGAAATTGTTATTAGGGGAAACTTCTTCCTCTTGGTGAGTAAGCCCTATTTTGGATTAGTTTTGGAGATGATAGCAAGCCATCCCAGTGGAAATAGCTTGCAAAGAGAAGAGGGTGAATATTCATTATTTTTATAACATTACTGTGATAATTCAAATGGACACCATTTGTGAATAAAGTTCATTCTACTCTTTAGACATTTTATGTCTAATTTTAATGTCTTGAATTTGTCAGGAGAGAAAGTAATGAACCCACAAAATTGATTAAAACTGTGAAAATCCTTTACCAATGGAGCTGAACACAATTCTATTGATATATGACACTTCCCCCTGGTCTTCAGATCAGTCAGCAAATATCACATTTGATGAGCCCAACATTGTGCCAGATGCTGAGGATACAGTGCTCAATAAAATAAGTATAGATCCTGCTTTTATACAGGTTACAGTCTGACAAGATGGATCAATAATATAAAATATGTTTCTGATACCAGAAATTATAAACAATAAAGAATCATCAGTCATAAAATTCTTAGATATTCCTAATAGAATTTTTTAAAAAGTTTCACAAACAAGTAAATGGTTTGTGAAACTTTTTAAAAAAGAGTATTTTGAGGGGATTCCATGTTGAGGCTTCTTTTTTTAGTTCATTACCCAACATTTGTATGAATATGTGAGTTTTAAAACTTCAGTTAAATATCAGGTAACCATCAAAAAAAGGATGGATCATGATGCCTTCACAATAGAGGTATTAATTATTGGCTCAGCTTATACATTTATTTAAGATTCTTCTTTTGTGGCTCTAGTAATCTTCAGTTAATATTAGAATAATTTGATACATTATTAATTTCTGGGCCATTTTTCTCACCATCTTCAAATTAGATGGAATATGATGTCATATAAAAATCTTTTCTGTCACTTGTATTAGATATGTTAAACACTAGGAAATATTTTGTTTAAAGCTGGCTTTCTTCCCAAAAGTAACATTCTGAATTCTCTTTTTATGCAACTGACACTCAACCAAGAGATTTTCATATAGACCATGGATAAATAGTATGTCCAAGGATATCAAGTGGAAAACCCTATGCTTGTATTTTAAATTACATGTTCATTTGCTTTAATGCAGTTTTAACATCAGTAACAGTGGAAATATGACAGTTTGAATACAAGTAGTTATAATTCATGCTGATAAAAGTAGCTTCCATCTTACCATTCTTGCAATATTGAAACAAACTCTAGTGAACTTGTTTAAAGCTGGTTCAGTAGAGATTGTCTCAACACTGAAGGAATGAAAAATTAGAACCTCTGTTGTCAGATGAGCAGTAGTCATCTGCGTCAGTTCCTGGTCAGGTTCACATTTGAGCGTTGAAGATGGAATTTTCCCAGCAGTAGATGAATGTCTCAGTGACCTTCTTCCTAAAATAACATACCCATTGGGGCATTCTGTTTATATATATAGTCATTCTTTGGTATACTCAGGGGATTGGTTACAGGACCTCCTGTGGATACCAAAATCTGAGGATGCTTAGGTCCTTCATATAAAATAGTGTGGTATTTGCATACAACATGTGTATATCCTCCCAATTTATTTAAATTTTCCCTAGATTATTTATACCTAGTACAATGTAAATGTGATGTAAATAGTTGTTATACTGTATTGTTTAGGGAATAATAACAAGAAAAATAGTCTTGTTTTTAGTATGTTTTTAGTACAATCTTTTCTTGAATATTTTCTGTCTGAGATTGGTTCAATCAATGGATGTATGATCCATGGATTTGGAGGGCTGACTGTATAGATAGAGATAGATAGATAGATAGATATAAACATATAAATGTATGTATATGTATGCTTATATATATGTAATATATGATTCCAATAATGGAATTACTACTGCTTAAAAAATAACACATATACAAATTTCATAAAGTTTATTAAATGTTAAACTTTTGCTGCTAATTTTATACAAATAAGAATTGCTGGGAAGGTTGGTATTATTTTCAACAATACAGAGACTAAATAAAACCAGTAGTGATTAGACGAAACTACCAAGCAATGTAAAATACTTAACATATCTTACTTATTATAAGTGTTATGTCTATACTACATATTTGGGGGTTTAAATAAATACATGATTATATGATCACATCCAGATAAAAATGAGATGTTAAGGCCATATTTTTTTTCTGAATAAACATCAGTGTTCAAAACTTGACATATAAACCATCTTACATGATTTTTCAACAAACAAACAAATAAACAAACCTCATAATTGTTGTCCCATGTAGCAGTTTAGCTGCCGTATATGTGATGTCACTCCTAAAGGATCAAGTAAATGGCGCCACACATACGACCACCAAGCTGCCACCAACAGCAGTAGTCAGCAGCTAAAACATCATTGTTTATTTCAGTCAACAAATACTTTGAGTGCCTCTAACATGTCAGGCACTGGTTCTGGAAATTCAGCAATGAACAAAACTGGCAAGCCACCTGCTCTCATGGAGCTTACATTCTAGACTTTATCCACACTAATCATGGAGTCCAGAGGAAAGCAATCTGATTTGAAATGGTCATATGCTTATGCAATTCCTACTGTGATGTAGGACAGTCAGGTTGCTTTTGGGTTACAGGAAGTTTCTAGAAGTACAGAGATAGTTACAGAGCTGTTCTTCATGGAACTTTGAGAAATGGTTCATCTCTGCAGTAGTTCAAGCCCACTGAGTATATAGACCCAAGCTGCTGTGCTGAAGGGAGATCTTCCTATTGATTGCCACAGGAAAAACTGCTCTAAAAAGAATATACACACTGGGGTCTGTTGGGGGGAAATAGGAAAGGGACAGTGGGGGGTGGGGAGTTGGGGAGGGATAGCATGGGGAGAAATGCCAGATATAGGTGAAGGGGAGGAAGCAAATCACACTGCCACATGTGTACCTATGCAATAATCTTGCATGTTCTTCACATGTACCCCAAAACCTAAAATGCAATTAAAAAAATAAAAAAAAAAGAATATAAACCTAGAATCCACAAACTGATGTAACCAATGGGATTTTGATGTCACCATCCTTAATGTTGATAATATATATAATTATTTTTGCTTTTCAGTTACTTATACTTTTCAAAATAAGAAAGGACAAAGTACAATGTTGTAGAAGTATTAGCCCTGATTCTTCTAGATAAGATCAGATGCCTGGCTGGTGTACTGTGTAATTCTAGTTACATTATACAAACAACAAAACTGCAAATATTGTTAATTCAAAGCAAATAGGTGAATATAGCTAAGTAAACAAATAACAATAACACCTGCTCTGAAGAACCTAATTTTTTATGTCTTCATTATTGTTGTTGGAATTGTTGTCATCAGCATCATTACTAGCATTTTTTTCTGAGAGCTCACTCTATATCACCACTGTTTTAAACTTACTATATACCTCAATAAGTAAGGAAGGAGAAGAATTGAGTGGGTGAAAGAGACTAATGGAAGGTGGTGACCCAAACTGATATTATAAAAACTATATGAAAATCGAGTTGAATGTTTAATAGATAGTGTATTTTCACAATAATCTATTGTCTAAAAAGTAATATTTTGGATTAATTAGGAACATTGTCATTTAAAAATATATTTTTTCTCTGAGAAGTGTCAGTGTGAACATAACAAATGTTTTGAAGAAAATGAACTTATCAGTTTTGTTTTATGGATGAATCCTCCAAATCCAAATATGTAATCCAAATACAGACAGAGTGGCAAATGTCTCTCTGTCACAGCAAAGAGAGCACAAAGCTGTTTAAGTGCCCTGTTCAGTTATGCTTGCTGGTCAAGGGATGCCCACAAACCATAAAATGTTTCTGTATATGACTCATGCAAAGATGTGAAATATTTTCAATTTTTAATTATAGATTACATTAGGTAAAAGTTTTGAATAAAAATGACCTACTTTAGTTTATTTAACACACTAAGAATTATCTATAGTCTTGATAGTAAAAAAGTAATTAGATAATCTTCAAATGATTTTGTTAGTATTTAGTGGTTTCTTTAGCTTTTCTTTTGTCATCTTCAATTATTTCCTTTATGAAACATGATTATTCAAAAATATTCAAATATACTAGATCACTTAGGATTTCATTTGAGCTATAAAAATAACAATATCAATAATATATAGCTATATTTTTACATCTATAAAAGATATCATAAGGCCTGGGTATTTACAGCCAAATTATTCTACTAGTTTCCATGATAGTTTTTGTTTAGTGTTTTTATATTTCCAATGACATAAAGTAACCTGCATTTCCAAATACTAATTACTTTTAGAAAATTATACTATTAAGTTGTCTAAAGAAATATTTAATAGGATAAAATGATAAGATAGCCTGACAATAAGTTATGTTCATTATCCAAATAGGTGCAAAAGGGTTACATTAACAGTCATTCCCATAAACCATTTATTTGATATATAATTTTACAAAATAAAAATTGCCTTACAAATTCAATTAACATTTATGGAATTCTAGTAATATTTTTTTCTTGAATAATATAAAGACAAACAGTTTAGACAGACTTGTAGGCCTATAAATACACATTAATAAACAATGGAAATCCTGGAACCCTATGCAAGCTTTGTGTGGGTGAGTAGGACAATATGAGATATTGAGTGATCTTTGCTGCCAGCTGTAATTCATTGACAAGTGTTATTCTGATGTGATAGAAAGGATAAGGAGCAAGGTAGTTCCACACTAATTTATGTAATATTTAATCATCTCCCATTTATGTGCTATTGAAGCTGATGTGATGGTGGGTTAGCAAAGTTGACACAAATAATAGGCATTGATAGTGTTTTATAAGATGATTATATTTCTGGTTACTTGGTAAATCTTTTAGGAATAAAACAATATAGAATTACATAAACTAAACATAATTTAAAAGGTTGGAAAAGGGTTATAGAATAATAGTGGTATATAAAGACTTGAAGATTCCGTAGTCAGTTTTTGATGAAAAATACATTTGAAATCATTAGCCAGACTGAAAGAGTTCAGATGTTTTAAAAGGATTGAACAGCTCAGAAACTATAATTCAAATCATAGTTTGGAACTATAATTTAAACCATAGTTTTTCAACTTGAAAAACGTTTTATCTGAGAACATTATTTACTGTCTATGTTAATTTCTAAGATAATATAGAGATGTCTCAATGCTAAAGTTTAGTAAACACAGCTCAAATTTCTAGGTAGACCATAAACACTAATTTAAATTAGAGACAGTTCAGAGGGTAGATTTGTTAACAAAATATTAAGTAAAATAATGGTTTTGAGGAAATTAGTTTTGGGTCTGGAAACCAATGCCTACCCTTGCAAATGCTAATTCAGTCACACTCAAAACATTCTTCCTTATTCAGCATTCCTCATTAGCATGGCTTAGGATGATTTTGTTTTACTTACATGTAGAAAAAGAAATAGTGCCAAGAACCGGCTTGTGAATATGAACCTCATTTTTGGTTGTTGAAGATTTCTTTGTCCTAGAAAAATATAAAAGCAACAAAGACTTAAATTAATATATCTCTAATATTGGCTATGGCATTTCATTTACTTTTCTTTCTATTGACTGAAAGAGGATCAGCATCCCAAGACACCCTAAAAAAATGTAAGGAAGAACAGTATGCTTGTGAAGCAAAGCAGTGCAGATTCCGATGTTCTTCCTGTCAACTAGATTGTCATCCTTGAGCCCCTCCTACTAAGAAATTCTGGTACTACCTTTGCGTATTAGGACAGAAATAAAGAAATTCCAAGAGAGCAAGAGCAACCCACGTTGGCGTCAGTTAACATATGTCATCAATAAAGCTGCTGAAAATTGCAATGAAGATATCTACCAAGAAGTCACCTCACTGGACATGAACAAATAAAGTCTATAAGTTGTGAAAGATTAATAGTCATGCCCTTTAGGTAATCTAAGGCCAATTCTAAAAGTAGCCTTAATTAAAGCTATGAGTAATTTTCTTTCCTATAAATGTTTCTTTAAGCTCCAAGTTGCTAGTAAGAACAAATTTCTTCCATAGCAATGATTGAGGATGTCGTCTAACAGCTCACCATTCATACTCAAGAGCATAATATCCAAACAGGCTGCTTACTCACAAATATCAAACAGTTTTTCATGGCTCTGCAGATAATTTTAGACAAGAAAATATAAGAAAGGGTTAAACATTTGAAATACATGTATATTTCTTTTCATCAGTGGGATTTGTGTGAAACCTACATTCCAACTAGGGGTTAGTGGTTATGATTGCATCAAAGTGGTAATTGCCCCTTGCACTATATCCATTGCATTACCTATAGAAGTTATATATCCTTTATCCAGGAGAACCTCCCCAGCCAGCAAGACAGGCCAACATGCAAGTTTGGGAAATACAGAGAACACCACTAAGATACTCCATGAGAAGATCAATCCCAAAACAGATAATCATCAGATTCTCCAAAGTCAAAATGAAGGAAAAAACGTTAAAGGCAGCCAGAGAGAAAGGCACAGTCCCCTACAAAGAAAAGCCCATCAAACTAACAGCAGACCTCTCAGCAGAAACTCTATAAGCCAGAAGACACTGGGGGCCAATATTTAACGTTCTTAAAGAAAAGAATTTTCAACCCAGACTTTCATACCCAGCCAAACTAAGCTTCATAAGCGAATAAAGTCCTTTCTATACAAGCAAATGCTGAGGGATTTCGTTACCACTAGGCCTGCCTTGCAAGAGCTCCTGAAAGAAGCACTAAATATGGAAAGAAAAAACTGGTACCAGACACTGCAAAAACACGCAAAATATAAAGACCAATGACACTATGAAGAAACTGCATCAACTAGTGTGCAAAACAACCAGATAGCATCATGATGACAGGATCAGATTCACGCTTAAGAATACTAACCTTAAATGTAAATGGGCTAAATGGCCCAATTACAAGACACATACTGGCAAATTGGATAAAGAGTCAAGACCCATTGATGTTCTGTATTGAGGAGAACATCTCATGTGCAAAGACACACATAAGTTCAAAACAAAGGGATGGAGGAAAACTTACCAAGCAAATGGAAAGCAAAAAAAAGCAAGGGTTGGAACCCTAGTCCCTGACAAAACAGACTTTAAACCAACAAGATCAAAAAAGACAAAGAAGCGTATTACATAATGGTAAAGGGAACAATTCAACAAGCGCTAACTACTCTAAATACATGCGCACCCAATACAGGAGCACCCAGCTTCATATAACAAGTTCTTAGAGACCTACAAAGAGACTTAGACTCCCACACAATAATAGAGACTTTAACACTCTACTGTCAATGTTAGAGAGATTAATGAGACAGAAAATTAGCAAGGATATTCAGGACTTGAACTCAGCTCTGGATCAAGTAGACTTGATAGACATCTATAAAACTTTCCAACCCAAATCAACAGAATACAGGTATTGATCGACTTATGACCTATGCAACTTACGACCATTCGACTTTACGACCACAATCGCTAGCCATGACTGCTGCGCGTCTGGCAGCGCAAATGTTGCCCAGCTGGGCGTACGACAGTGCGGACCAGCTTCCGGCAGCACTACCATCTCTGCATGCACCATTTCAACTGTTATCCTAGACTCAGTACAGCAATTTGTGTTTTGTGTCTTGGATATTTTTCATCAAACTCCTCCCAAGATGTCTACCAAGAGGAAATTGTCTTTGTCTACCCCTCAGCCTGCCACGAAGGAAAGAAAGGCCATCAATCTCCACACGAAAATGAAAGTAATTAAGGAGGAGCCAGAAAGAAAGTTCACCACTAAGGGATTATCAGATGATTTATCTTTACTGAATAAACTTCTTACACATTTCGAAGCAATGGATCCAAACATTGAACGATTTGCAAGGATTGAACAGATGGCACACGATGTGTTTCGTCCGTATCGTGAAATTTATGAAGAAAAAAAGAAACATAGAATTCAGACAAAGTTCACCATGTTTATGAAAAAACCAGCTCCGGTAAACCAGAGCTGGTTTTTTGAAAAAGTTAGGAAAATAGGCCACTAGCTAGACTAATAAAGAAGAAAACAGAGAGGAATCAAGTAGACGTAATAAAAAATGATAAAGGGGATATCACCACTGACCACACAGAAATACAAACTACCATCAGAGAATACTATAAACACCTCTACACAAATAAACTAGAAAATACAGAAGAAACGGATAAATTCTTGGACACATATGGCCTCCCAAGACTAAACCAGGAAGAATTTGAATCCCCGAATAGACCACTAGCAAGTTCTGAAATTGAGGCAGTAATTAATAGCTTACCAATCAAAAAAAGTCCAGGACCAGGTCAATTCACAGCTGAATTCTACTAGAGGTACAAAGAAGAGCTGGTACCATTTCTTCTGAAATTATTCCAAACAATTAAAAAGGAGGTACTCCTTCCTAACTCATTTTATAAAGCTAGTACCATCCTGATACTAAAACCAGGCAGAGACATAACAAAAAAAGAAAACTTCAGGCCAATATCCCCAAAGAACACTGATGCAAAAATCCTCAATAAAATACTGGCAAACCGAATCCAGCAGGGCATCAAAAAACTTATTCACCACCAAGTCAGCTTTACTCTGGAATGCAAGGCTGTTTCAACAAACGCAAATCAATAAACGTAAACCAACATAGAAACAGAACCAAAGACAAAAACCACATGATTATCTCAATAGATGCATAAAAGGCCTTTGATAAAATTCAGTGTCCTTTCATGTCAGAAATTCTCAATAAACTATTGATTGAACATATCTGAAAATAATAAGAGCTATTTTTTGACAAACCCACAGTCAATATCATATCAATGGACAAAATTGAAAGCATTCCCTTTAAAAACCAGCACAAGACAAGGATGCCCTCTGTCACTACTCCTGTTCAACATGGTATTGGAAGTTCTGGCCAGAGCAGCCAGGCAAGAGAAATAAATCAAGGGCATTCAAATAGGAATAGAGGAAGTCAAATTGTCTCTGTTTGCAGACGACACGATTTTATATTTAGAATACCCCATCATCTCAGCCCCAAAACTCCTTAAGCTGATAAACAACTTCAGCAAAGTTTCAGGATACAAAATCAATGCACAAAAATTACAAGCATTCCTTTACGCCAACAATAGACAAGCAGAGAGCCAAATCATGAATGAACTCCCACTCACAATCACTTCAAAGTGAATAAAATACCCAGGAATACAGCTAACAAGGGATGTGAAGATCTCTTCAAGGAGAACTACAAATCACTGCTCAAAGAAATAAGAGATTACACAAACAAATGCAAAACCATCCCATCCTCATGGATAGGAAATATTGTGAAAATGTCCATACTGCTCAAAGTAATTTATAGATTCAGTGCTATTCCCACCAAACTACCATTGACATTTTTCATGGAATTAGCAAAAACTACTTTAAATTTTATATGTAATCAAAGAAAGACCTGTATAGCCAAGACAATCCTAAGAAAAAAGAACAAAGCAGAAAAGGCCTTTGATAAAATTCAACTTTCCTTCTTGTTAAAAACTCTCAATCAACTAGGTATTGATTGAACATATCTCAAAATAATAAGAGCCATTTATCATGCTACCTGACTTCAAACTATACTACAAGGCCACAGTAACCAAAACAGCATGATACTGGTACCAAAACAGGCATATAGACCAATGGAACAGAACAGAGACCTCAGAAATAATACCACACATCTACAACCATCTGATCTTCAACAAATCTGATAAAAACAAGCAATGTGGAAAGGATTTCCTATTCAATAAATGGTGCTGGGAAAACTGGCTAGCCATATGCAGAAAACTGAAACTGGATCTCTACCTTACACCTTATAAAAAAATTAAGATGGATTAAAGACTTAAATATAAAACCCCAAACCATAAAAACCCTAGAAGAAAACCAAGACAATACCATTGAGGACATAGGCATGGGCAAAGACTTCATGACAAAAGTACCAAAAGCAATTGCAACAAAAGCCAAAATTGACAAATGGGACCTAATTTAATTAAAGTTCTTCTGCATAGCAAAAGAAACTATCATCAGCACGAACCAGCAATCTATAGAATGAGAGAATATTTTTGCAATCTACCTACCTGACAAAGGTCTAATGGCTAAAACTTACAAGAACTTTAAGCCAATTTACAAGAATAAAATAACCCCACCAAAAAGTGGACATATGACCAGTGGGTTATGAACAGAAACTTCTCAAAAAAAGACATTTACACAGTCAATAAACATATGAAAAAAAGCTCAGCATCAGTGATCATTAGAGAAATGTAAGTAAAAACCACAATGAGATACCATGTCATGCCAGGTGGAATGGTGATTATTAAAAAGTCAAGAAACAATAGATTCTGGTGAGGCTGTAAAGAAATAGAAATGCTTTTATACTGTTGATCAGAATGTAAATTAGTTCGACCATTGTAGAAGACAGTATGGCGATTCTTCGAGGATCTAGAACCAGAAATACTATTTGACCCAGCAATCCCGTTACTGGGTATATACCCAAAAGAATATAAATCATTCTACTATAAAGACACATGCACACGTATGTTTACTGCAGCACTATTTACAATAGCAAAGTCATGGAACCAACCCAAATGCCC